TGGCGATGAGACAGATCACACACAGGGTCTGTCACCACACCTTTCCAAACCCCACACAAGATCTGTGTCAGCCGGATCCACCAAGACCTTGGGTATGGGCCGCAGCTCCACAAAACCCAACCCCCTGAGCAGCATGGGACTAACATCTTGGTTTGCTGGGGCACCAGGAGTGGACCCGGAGTATGTAATGCAGCTGGTCAATGATGTGCGTTGGTTTTCTGATGTGCTGCTCAACCTCAAGGATGCATTCCAGTGTAAAGGTGAGTTCAGGAGGGGCTATAGCAGTCAGGGAAGGGGAACATGATAAATAAAACATTTGAAGAGAGAAAATCAATTTTCTAATACTTGTTACACACAATGTTGCATGATGAGTACAACCTATGGGTTATATTCTTATGAAGTGCTCAAATTAGGCTGCATTATTTTGTCTGTCCCTTTCCATTCACCTAAATGCACTATGTTTGTCTAGAAATGAGCTCTTTAAACTGAGAAACCGGTGCTAAAATCTGATGTTTACCAGAGATGTTATAAATAGCTGGAATTCTCTGCCTGTAAATGTTATTGTTGATATACTGGGAATGTTTGACCTGTTATCCACAGAAATCATGAATACTGAAGTGTAAACCTTCATTTAGCCTTTTAAATAGCACTGAGGCAAACACTTTTCTTTGAGTAAATAAATGTCCAGGAAAGCTTTTGTGATTTTTACAGTTTGGTAACTAAACCCCCAAACCTGCCATTGTGATATACAGCCAGAACCACCTGCGGAGTGTCAGTTCGTAGTGTGATGACAGCCTCACTGCTGACATGCCAGAGCACTTGTAATGTTGTTAGTCTCAACAAGTACACTCACCCACACACTGCTGCGTGCCCACAAGTGAACCAGACACAGGTTACTTTTCTCCTTTTTGTTTTTCTCGCTTGGTTTTGATAGCGCCTGTTTGCAGACGCAGACAAACACTACCTACACAAATGCAAACGTAGCATTACACAATGCTTTACAGTGTCACACCACAGAACACTAATGATAACTTACTGTATGTTATTGTGTGGGTGAAAGTACAATATTTTTTCATTTCAGTCATTCTGTGTATTATTTGTTTTGACTGATTAATCATTTACTCCAAAAGTGTGTGAAAAACAAAGATCTCAGGTTCCCAGTGACGTCATAAAATTGCATGTTTTGTACAGCCACCGCTTAAAAGACTGATATTTAACTGATAAATCAGCAGATTGTTTAAGCACTAATGTTACATGTTTGTGTCATGTTTAATCTTGGTATTAGAGTTTTGCTTATACATACATGTCTGTTTTATTAATTGACTAAAGTATTTAATACACTGTCATGTTACAACCACTGCTACTCCTACTGTACTCCTAAAAGACGCATACCAACACACACACACTCACACATAGAGTGGGGTCCTACTGCAAGTCTGACCGTGGGAGTGAGTTGTTTAGCCATTCCTCTGGCTGGAGGAGTGAAGCCACTGTGAGTGAGCCTTTAGCTTGCGTCGTGCTGAGTGTTGCTCTGACCCATCGCAAAAATATTTGAGTTATTTGCCTCTTTGTTTACAGCAGCTCTTATTCAGCAGGGGGAATGAATTCATACCGTATGATCCTATAATATCATTCAACTATTTGTCAGTTGGATTAGTGGTTTGTTTGTTTTTTTTTTCTCATTGAAACAAGTATTTTGGCAGAATTACTTGTGCAAGATGCTACTACTATACTGTGGTTTGCTGTCCATTCAAAAGTAAACATTGCACCATTTTCATGGGACATGGTCTGTTTAAACTGAATGTATTTTGTCAGTATTCCTAGCTTTAAATGTACACTGTGGTCCGAGACTCCCAGTAACACCAAACAAGCAATAAGGAAACAGGCACACTTCCAAAAAGTCCAAATTGCTAACCTTTTAAAGAGTACTGCAAAAATCTAATTCATAGAGTTCAACAGAACAGACATGTTATTTTTAATTAGAAATGTTAAAATATATGGTGACTACATTTTAATGTATAAGAAGTACCTCCTGTAATGCCTCTTAAGGATGCACATTATATTCACAAAATGAAGATATGGATAAACAAAATGAATGCAAGGATGCACTTTGCTGAATTGTAGTGATTAGCAGCAGCAGTATAAACGTTTTGACTGAGCAGATAAACAGCCTGACAACAACAGGTCTCCATGTGGTGGGGAAAGCTGCAGGAGTGAGGTAGTCCCATGCCAGCTCTAATATTATTCTTTTCATATTTGGAAAGGTCTGACACTGGAGTACTGTGTGAAACAGACACAATGCTGCTTTTGCTGAAAGGCGTGCACCCTGTTGAGATCTGGCAGGCTTGTATTTCTGCTGCAGAGAGGGAGTTTGACTCGTTGTGTGTCACATATTGTAAGTTCTCAGAGCGAAAACTATGTGGATGGTTTAGTTTGGAAGATGCTTATGTTTCTTCTCAAGAGCACTGGCGGAAGGGGAACTCCATCAGTGACCATGAGTTGACTAGAACCACCACGTTCACACCTATAGGTTCCCCAGGGTCACATTGTGGTGTAAATTTACACTTTCTCTCATAACTGGTCTCTCCGAGTGCCTGCGAGAATAGTTGCTGAACAATAGTCAAGCTTTCAAAGAATGTAACTCAAGAAAAGAATGCGAGGCTGTATGAGTTTTGACTAAGTACGTGACCCCCTGTTCCCGTCCCCCTGTTGTCCCAAGTTGATTTACACATTCTGTCAACACTAGGGGTGTGACGAGATCTCGTGGCATGAGCTCTCATCAGTTGCTGCTGCTCTGGTTCTGTATTGTACTGATATCGCGAGACAGCTTCTTGCCTTAACGTTAAATATTGTCACGTGGCACAAGATCTCATGATATTAAAACATGACAATATTTAGCTTTGAGGCGAGAAGCTGTCTCGCGATATCAGTACAATACAGAACCAGATTAGCAGCCAGCATGAAGGATTGTGAGGGTGAAATTGACCATACAAGATGCCTCCACCACTTTTTTATGTTCAGTGTGTGTGTAAAGGAATTCAGTTAGAAGTTAGAAACTCGTGCATAGTTCATGCACAGTTCTAAGTTCTGAAGAGGTTCATACAGGAGAGAAGACAGTCAACTGAGTTTGTGGCAAAACCTTTTACAGTGCTTGCATATTGTTGTCCTTTACTGCATATGATAATTCATACTCAAAGTGGAACTGAGGTGACATTCATGACAAAATGATTAGGAAAAACATTTCAAAATGCCCCTGCATTGTTTTGCATTTTGTGACTTTTAGTCAAATAAAAGTTAGTTTTTCCAGTCATATATTTTGTTATTGAAGATTTGTTAAAAATGGTATTAAAATATTTTTTTGTTCTCGTGGACCCAATATCGTGTATCATCTTGTCTTGTGAGCTAAGTGTATTGTTACACCCCTAGTCAACACACATCATTCAATAAATCAATCGGTGGACCATACCTTCTCACAGCTCTGCATGATAAAAAATTTATTTGATTGTTTAACCATAACATTTCTCTTATATTGGCCCAAAATGGTAAATATCAGTGATAGTGTCATTTTGTTAATAGGTAGTCTAGCATAAATCTATATTGTTCTCTTGACAAGAGTGGGAGACAACCAAGAACAGGACTTGCTGTGAAGACGGCTTGTAGTCAGAAAATGGACCACAAACATTTCATATAAAGGTCCATCAAACCATTCTGTAGATTCTTGTGGTATCAGTAATTGTTAACAATGAAGTGTAATATTTTGGGGGAAGTGGGAAAATCTCTGTTGCTCTTAACTGAGGCACAGACAGTGTAGCTCAAATTTCTCCGATGGCAACATTTCAGACATTTAGTATTAACAGAACAAGAGCGGTAATTGTACACCACTTCAGCACCATAATGAAATAAATAAATAATAAAAATGTCTGGGTATTTACTTTATTCTGAAATTTTCATTTGAGGCAGGTTTGCTTTGTATAGGGGGGCTTGGTTAATGGTTTTTAATCGGGATGAAAAAGGAGTCCTCTACACACAGCCGAGTCGCTGTCCCCCTCCCATCCCCCCTCTCTCCTGCATAC